TCTATTGTCATTTTTTAAAGTTTAAATAGGATACTAAAAGGGTATAAAATGTACAGCAAAAGTTATTCCCACATATGTAGTAGTAAATGGACTTTTTAAATTGCTCATTATATTGATGTTATAGACTACTTTATCGGTATTATTCACTGCTTTCCTAAAATGATCTAAGTATATGAAGTTTTCTTGCTCAACAATTTAATTATGAAATTTTTTCCAGACCTTTTTATTTATATTTTAAAATCCCTAAGATCTGAGAGCCTGTATCTGCATTGATCTAAATGTTCTGCAATGCTCTTGTAGGCAGAGGCTGAGAGTGTATTTGCGATGTCTGGAATTCAGAATAAAATGTTTATGTGAAGAGATTCTAAAGCGTCCATAAAAGGTTTCTGTGGCACCTTACATATTCTTGTAATTTAAGGAAAAATAAGAGCAATTTATAATCTGGACATGAATGTATCTCTGAGAGAGAAATTTAAAGAAATAAATATATTAACCTTGGCCCTACAATATATATATATATATATATATATATATATATATATATATATATATATATATATATATATATATATACATATATATATATATCAAAATGTAATGTTTGTACTGATGTACATAATGTAATAGGAACAAACACTAGCTTGTAATGCCAATTACTAGACTCCATAGAGTAAGTAACTCGTTCGTGGGGCGATGTATACGCTAGTATCCTAGGGATTTTCTTTCGCCTATTTCTTCTCCGTTAGAGGAACCTCATAACGAAACGGTGGTAGATTAAAAAAAAATGACTATCGATAAATCAAATGAAATTTTTCTTATGTCGATGATTAAATGATTTTGATTTTGATTTAAAACCTATACTTTCGGTTTTACTGTTTCTTTTCGACATGTCCTATTTTTAACGCATATTAAACTAACACCGAAACATGAAATTAACGGTTTTTTTTAACTCAAGTAGCTGATCTGTATGTGAAAAATATACATCTATACGCATGACTTGCGATAAGTAGGTCTTGAAGAGTTTAAAATTACTAAATTCTGGAAACCGAAACAAGAATGTGCGCTGGCAATTTTGTATTGTGATACATTGACAACAACTTTACATCATAATCTGGTCAAACGATCCATAAACTCGAGCGTAAAAACACCAGGACTAAATATCATGTCACTTGGAAACTATAGTCATATTGCTTTGCGAATGATTATTTATTACATGTTTGTTCGTAATGTGCGATTGGTATTCCTGTTATTCGCGGGCTGGCAAATTACTCTCAGTTTTTCTGCTTTTTTTACATGCTATTATCACCGTACAAAAATTGAAAGGCGTTTGACAAACCCAGGCTTGCGAAAATAATTCTTTTTTTATTTGATAAATTGTCAAGCGAGCTGTCTGCTCATCTGATGTTAGGAAATTACCACCACCCATAGACATCTAAAATTGTCTTCTTAAAAGAGAGATTGCAGGTGTGTTGCCAACTTTTAAAAAAGTGGGGTGACACGTCACTCTTCATAACACATTCACTTCACGTCTTATGTGCCTTTGTAATTATTTTTATGGAATAAGTTAGCTAACGAGCACGCGCGGCTAATTTGACATGAACTAATTACCACTGCCCATTGACACAAACCTGTCGTAGTACAGCCCATGCTTATTTCTTAAATATGAAACACTCATCAGTAAAATCGCAAAATTAAACTATGGTAGAGTCACGGAACAGATTCTACATTTGTATGAATTGGCAACCTTTTTTTAAAGGTAGGCAAAGCGTTTCCAACTTCTCTGGTGTTTTAAAAAACTATCCGATCTTATATCAGGCCATTGTATAAAAAAAATCATGTCCGTTGTCCAAGCTAAGCGGTCGACGTCCTTGCCGAGTGAAAATATCGACGTCTTATGTAATTCGTTTTTAAAGTCTTCATTTTTAATTTTTAGCAATACTTATATATTAGAATATCTACGGTATATTATGTTATTTGTATAAACACACTTTCTCAAATACATTTTTGCAATGAATAATCGCCCAAAACGAGACTAGCTCTGATTATAAGTTAAATGCTCTCATCTCGCCTTATCAGGGACACGACTACGATACGAATAAATATAAACCGTACTAAAATAAAAGTCGAACGTCACACATAATTTTATTCAAATAAAATGTTTCATTTTATTTAATCAAAAATTTCAGCTTTAACTAGTTGTAGGCTATAACCATAATTTGGTTGTCTCCAATGTGCATTAATAAATGCTATTTCAAATATACATTTAGGACAAAAATCATCCTCTTTTGAGAGTAGGGAGATTAAAATCTTCAGAAGTATTTTCTAGCTCGTAGACCGTTCAGAGCTCAAAAACATTGTTGTAATTACAAATTGTTATAAAAGTACACATATTACATATATTTTACACATACTTTTATTCATTTGATCTCGAAAAGGATTTATATAAAGAAGTTCAGTGTCCGGGCCCTGGCTTTTAATTCAATGTACACAAGCAACCTGACACCGAATCTCGGTATTGGCACCAATGGAATTGTTAATTTTAAGTGCTGGCTTCTCACGTGTTCAGTGGTGAGGGAAAACGCCGTGAGGAAACCTCCATATGTTCGAAATAATGACAAAAAACAATATTTCTAAGATATGTGAAGACTATGCTCTAATATCCTTTGAACATAGTTGGCTCAGCAATGGGACATATGAAGCCTGTTTTTTTTCTTTACTTTACTTTTTCTTTCTATTTTATGCATATATTAAAAAAGAACACAATTCTTGTGCACTAATGGGACCTTTAGATTCCATGTAAGTAATTAAGGTTAAGTAATAATGATAAAAGGAATAAGTAACAATAATGAAGTATCAGAAAAAAAATTAGAAGACAGTAATTGTGTGAATATTTCGTTGATGATATTCTCTTAACTAACGTCCCTTTTGCAATAAATCATAAAACTATCGAAAGAGACTGTGAAGATAAAGATGCGAGTTAAATTGTCCTTTTGGATTTTTTTCTGTATGATATGTCGCAAACGAATTAACTGATTTTGATTTTTAGAACGGTAATTGACTCGTTTTCTCGAGCTAAACAGACTTTTGAATAGACTGCTCTAATCTTAGAAAAAAAAAGTTATTCACTAGACGTTTCCCACATGTTGTTTCCAACATGGGTTTCCAAGGTGCCAAACATTTAAATGAGTCTGCCGCACTCACAATACGAAACGCAAAAGTACGAGTGTGTACAATTCTCTATAATTAATTTACTCAATTAAGTTTATCAAAATGGGCTGATATTGAGTCTGGCGTTTCACAAGGTGCTATACTTTCTGGAATAATATTCTCAGTGTTTATAAACTCAATTCCCTCATATATTGACTGCTCATCTGCATACGGAAGACTTAATCTTGGTCTTTATAGGCCGATTGTTGCATTAAATTCCGACTTTATTCATGACGGGTCAACTCGTTTTGGAATACCTCCAATAAATGTCAAGTAACGCTTGCACATCTGTGTCAAGATTGAGACGCATCAGACTTTGGATTTTGTGGTGCAAGTGAGATATTCGAGGCGATTATAACGCGCTTGATAAGAAGGCTGCGTTATTATCAGAGCAGGAAACGACGTATAGCTGTTCCCCTTATAATTTCTGAAGAGCAAAGATAAATATGCCATTTCATCCGTTTTTTTAACAATTTAATATTTTATAATCGCTAACATTAAAATATAAATCCATATTTTTAAACGGTGTAAATAAATGTAAGTCCAGCGTTTTTGTAGCAAATTTAAAAAACGTGCCACGACTCTCTAATCTTAGAATCAACCTAAAATTAAGCTTAGAGGGTAATACGTGTCTAAATACAGATTTCAATGATGATGCTTATAGCATTTGTGCTTATTTAGTGCTTCAAAAATAAATTGCTTAAAAATAAAATTTAGCTATGAAATCTGTTTTAATATTTTTAATTCATAATTTATTTAAATAATTGAAAAGGAAAATAACAGGCTGTATATGTCCCACTCTTAGGCAAAGGCCTCCTCTGTACAGAGGGTATCATAGTCCACCACGCGAATTTTTTTGTTGTTATTTCGAAAATATGCATGTTTCCTCACGATATTTTCCTTCACTGTGATAATTCAGCACTTAAAATTAACCATATCATTGGTACCGGTGCCGGGGACCGAACTAAGGTTGCTAGAGTATATTGAAGCGAGCGCCCGCACAGTTAGCTATCACGAAAAATAGTTTATTTAGTAGTTGATGGTTCCAAAAATTCCGTGTTTATATCAGAAAAACACAAAGTAAGTTTGTTTATCAACAATTATGTATCTGCGGGTCATTGCAGTGCTGAACGCTGCAGTACAATTTACAGCCTAGTTAGTATCATTTATCAGAGCCGTGATAGCTCAGTGTCCGGGCGCTCGCCTTTAATTTAATATACTCGAGCAACCTGAGTTCGATCCCCGGTGCCAGCACCAATGAAATTGTCAATTTTAAGTGCTGAATTATCACGTGCTCAGCGGTGAAGGAAAACATCGTGAGGAAACAAAAAAAAATACTATTCCGAAGATATGTCCGCCAATCCGCAGTGGGGCCGCGTGGTGGACTACGCCCTGACACCCTCTGTATAGAGGAGGCCTATGCCCAGCAGTGGGACATGTATAGGCTGATACTTTAGTAATTTTTTTATAAAAAAATTTAAAACGTATTAAAAAAACCTGTTATCTTAGACGTGCAATAACGTTGACATTAAAACATCTTAATGTAGTTTAGCTTCGGGTTATTTATTGTTGCTAAGAATAAATTGTACTGAGACTATTTCAGAGAATTTTCTTGAAATATTTTCTTACTTTTAGTTTTTAGATGTTGTAAAGGAATTTATCCTATACGTAGACATGATAATAACAGCTACTGATTATCTTTAACAACATCATTATTTACTAAAAGTTTCCGACCTTTTAGGTTGAATTAAGGTTTTGTAATCTATCTTAGATTACGCTTAGTGTCGCTTTTAAAGCCTCAACTGTATTGGCAGACGTGAGTTAGTCAGGAGTGCGATGGTTTCGCGCGGCATAAACATACGTATGAGGCTCGTGGCACTCGCGGTATTCCTGTAACGGTCCGTCTGTTGCGCAAACGCATCCCGCGCCCGAAGAAGGAAGGCGGGCGGGGCAGGTGGGGCGCCCGAATTAGAAGCGCCGAAACTAAATACCCAAATGCGATTGTCCGCGCGGCCGCTTGCCAAATACGGCACGAATCTCGGATTTCCCGCGCCACCCCCGCCCCGCCCCGGGCCCCCGGAGGGCCGCGGAAAACGCGTAAAAACTCGCTTATTTCTGTACACGCTAAATTTAACGTATGGTAAGCGAAAGCGATCGCGATTTTGGTCGGGCGCGTTGTCTGTATTTAGATTAGAGCGGTGGTACGCGACCGGGCGACAGTGCACGCCGCGACGCGAGTGCATCGCATGGATGTCACACATGGTGCCGGAGGGAGGTGATTATCGTAGTGCGTGCGACGGCCCACCCTTATCAGTGCCCTTGTTTACCCAGTGTCCTCGTTTCGCGCCAAACGCGATCCGAGCCGTTTGCATTATTTATTTTTTCGGTGATTTAATTTTCGAACGCATCTGAATGGCCAGCTTTGGTGTTGTTTTTTAATCTGCCGGTATTTTCGCGCCAAATTTTCTATGAACCCTTTCGAAGTGAATGAAGAATTGTTTTTAACCCTTTTTACCGTCGATTTTGTTTTGTTTTATTTATAAAAAGTAAGGTTTGACTTAAAGTCGACGGTTTGATATGGCCCGTTTTAACCTTTATTAACGGTATCGTTTCCCGTTTCCGAGGAACTAATGTTTTTCGGAACATTACACAAGGACACAAATAACACTAAATTGAAATGTATGCCACGCTCGTGTCGTATTCTTTGCCCCGTTTTGCGCCTTATTACTAATTGGATAAATGTTTCTTTCCATCGATCAGCGGACGCGTGGGACGGTGTACTTGTGAAATTGTGTACAAAAGCAATTGTGAGCGCGAAAGCTTTACGGGGAACAACCAAAGATGGATTGTGTCAAATTGTCACCTATAGCGAAATGCGAGTTGTTGGGAAGGCGTTGTGTGGAAAAGAAACATTTGAATGTGGCTCTAATGACGCTAATGTTAGAGCTTACTATTCGCTGTCTATTTATCCTCGTGGTGCTGGTTACAGTATATCGTATTCTAAATATATCTGTCGCACATCGAGATGTTTTCTGTTATCAGCGACGGGTTGGCCAACGGGGTTATGTTACTCAACGCATTTGATAAATGTACAATTATCACTTATTCAAATAGTGTTTGTTACTAACAAAGTCATCCGGTAATTAAGTCTTATGCCGCTAATACGAAATGCTTTGCTAAAATACAAACTAACAGCTAATTAAGAATTCTATAATAATTTTCTCAGTTAATAATTGATAATTTGAGAATTGCTGTGGACTGATAACCAAAAGGCAAAATTGTAAAGAATAAGGATATTAATTAACAATCAAGTATAAAACATATCACATTTTAGAACATTGCTAAAAAATACTCAGATCTCCTATTTCGGTCTCGAATTTGCACTTCTCTGTTGGTCTTAATTCCTAATCCCATAATTTAATCATTGATAAAAGAAATGGTTCCTAAATTTATAGTTACAATGAAAATCAATACGCGAGACAATAAGAGGCGATATCTTAATGTTGTGCAATTTATAATAATAATAATAATAAATAAATATCCCCAACATAATGATAATACTTTATTGTACACCAAAAAATAAATATAAAAAAGTACAAAAAACTAAATATTTATCAAATATTGGTCATCAAAAGGGGGCCTTATTGTTACACAGCAATTTCTTCCAGGCAACCTCAGAAATTTACCAAAAGGAATTGTTGACGGGTAGGATAAAGAAATAGATATAATAAGAATTATTGAAAAGCTCACAAACAGTACCTTAATGTTTCTTAAACTCTTAACATATAAGAATTTCACATATGAACATTAAATTTAAGAAAATCTGTTTAGTTTAGTGTATATTATTTGATGAATATAATGACACTTGATGTCAATTAATGAATGAGAATCACATTATTTATTTCGTTGTATAATATTGCTTACAATATTTTTTTTCCTAGTCAGATAGGACATAATGAGTGTTTTAAAAGAAAATATGATGTTTGTGTTGTGAAGCGTGGAATTTAAGTTCGTTGTTGGTAAAGGAATTATTATGCTCAAATATAGCGATTTGTCTGTAAGTGCCAAATTAAGAATGAAGATGAGTCAGTATCGTCCGAAATAGGCAATAATTTCGACTTGGCGATATAAAATGTAAATACTAGTCTTTCCTACTTTGCAATACAATACGCCGTTTTAATCATATCTAGACATTATAATGTCTACACCGTATATTTTAGGAAATTACTATAGATTGATTTTAAATATTTCTTTTACGAATCAGTTAATTAATTAAAGAATTTATGTATGTTACTATAAAAGTTATAATTTCCGAACTCTTACCTTGTACCGAATACCAAATCTTGCGGTCGTAGCAAAATCACAATTCAAAACGATGCGATGTCATATCGGCACAAATAGTTTTTATTTTGCGCAAAGACTTTGTTAACAAAAATTGTTTAGGAGCACTTAAATATAGTGATCACACAATATAGTGATACATATTTTATATTGTAATATTTTATTCTATGCATTGAATACCTAGAGATAGATATTTAATACGTTTTATTTAGTTTTTAATTCGAAATACATTTCACGATTACGGGAACGGATAGTGTTTAAAATACCGGAAATTTTAAATTCGATAGAATCCTACTTGAAAAATAAATGATAATAAGAGGATACATGTAGAGATTATTTCGCCTGTTCCTTCTCCGTTAGAGGAAGCTTGTTACGAAACGGTGGTAGATTTAAAAAAATGACTATCGATACATGAAATATATGTTTTTTATGTCGATGAGTATCTTTTTTTATTTATTTTTATGTTCTAATATTAAAAAGGTCCCTTTGAAAACACAATTCGGTAAATATATCAAAAATCTCAAGATGACTAATATTAATAAGGAAATATAACAAGGTATTCGAATAGTGATCAAATAAGGCGTTAAACTCAAATACTTAGATACTACCAAATGCGAAGATACTTATTCATACAATAACATTTGCATACGTGTCTGCCAGTTTGTTTCTGATACTGTAGTACAATGGCAATAAACGCAGCCGAGTCAGTTGCCCACCAACGTGGGTGCAGATACGTGGGTATCTGATGAAATCTCACGCGACTATAGGCCTAATGTGAACGTACATAGATGAGAGATTTACGTCAACGCAAATTTTATATTGATTTAGTTCGGGGAGATCTGTTGATGTCAATCATACATTATTCAACGGTGTCAGATTGCATTTTTTTCCAACAATAACCATTTGAAACGGGTATACGGAAATAGACAATGCTATTAATTTCAAAGAGCTTGTTGAGTGTGAAAACGTAACTGTTTTGCAGGTTCGTAAACCGGTTATCCTGCCCAAAAACCCCAAAGAAAAGAAAGTGATTTATTCACCGAAGAAATTCTAAAGAACGAAACTTATTTAAGAACGTCATTTGTTGTGACATCTTTTTAAGAAAAATTTGTAGACGTGCCCTCTGCTAACACTAAGAAATGACCAATCTAATAAAACTCTTTAATGTAAAATTTTACGATTATTTTTCCTCATTGTCTGACAAAGCGAATTATCATATCGCATCATGATTTTGAAGTGGTGTACTCTACTTTCTCCGACATGTTGTTATGACAAAAAACTTCTGTCCGTTATCCTCTCGTTTCTTTTCCCATTAATCGTTAATCGTAGCATTGGTAATAACATAAAAGTAAACATGAAGAACAAACGGTGTTGTTAAATAAGTTATTGCTAATTTACAGCATCCATGACCTAAAATTAAATTAACTACCACTGAAATATTAAAATTAGTAAATATAGAATTAAATAACAATGTTTTGTTTTCTTGTAAATACATGAATACATTAATCGAAAGAAATTCTATGAAAAACTGGAGCGTTAGCAAATAGCAGTTAGTCTTACTATAGAAAAGCGGGTGTGCTTAAGAGTAATCTATGTTATTCTTATTTCGTATCTAAAAACGAAAAAAGAAACCTTAATATTTTAATAGTTTCAATATTTTATCATGACTTTTGTTATTTATTTTCTGTCTTGACAGTTTTCTACAATTGTTGAAGTTTGCAACTAAACAAAAAAAATAACTATGATTTTAATAAAATAAACTCATTAATAAAAAATAATCTAAACAGATTTTACTCCCGATATAACTATGTACTGAGTATATCCTAGCACGACAAACATATGGAGAAGAAAGTAATAAAACTGTACATCGTAATATTCATGCCCCATAGGACAGGCAGCAGCCTAGTGTGGGGGTCAGTTCTTAAGGCATAAATGTAAAAGTTTTTTGGAAATAAAGTAATTTGTATTTGTATAAGATAGGTTGATGGGTCACACAATTCATCACACATTAGAAAGTATAATACAGTTTAATTCAGTAATAAGTAGTTAGTGTTCTTTGATCCTACCATGATTCATTCGATACTCATTTAAACGTTCCCTTTATACCGTATTGGCCGTCAGATCTAATCACTGCCAAATTTACCGTAACTCTGAATTACTGCAACCGTTATTTACCCACAAATTGAACATCCTGCGTACCGTTTCACCGTTAAATTGCCAATTGATACTCTTTATCACGTTCACTTTGTTTATAACTGTAATATGAAACTGACAATTCATGTAATGGTAGAAAAATCTCAATTTTTCTTATAGGATATCGCACGCATGTTATGATAACTCTATTTAATTTTTGTTACATGCCTCTACATTGCTGTACGTCCAATTTAATGCAAAGTGGTAGGGCTTCTTAAATCATATTGATAATATGAGAACTTGTTTATTTGAGTAAATAAAATCCATTTCAGCTTTTTAGTCAAAATACAACCGTAAAGTTGCTACCTCAATATAACTGTAGAATTTGTTTCTATAGGCCATTAGTTGGACTGTTTGCGAATCAATTTGAATTGTGCTCATTAAAGATCAACGTCGTGCATTATTAACGCTGGCTCCGTCGAAAGTAAAGGGAGCGCTCCGGTCCGAGTCCAGCCAAAGCCCCGACGTCGCTCTTATAAGGAGATATCCTTGGTGCCACTTAGCCCACGTGAATATTCACCTCCATTACGCCAATGACACTCTGACAAACGCAATTAATGCGCTTAACGTGCAGTTGTCACTTAGTAATAATCGTATCTATGTTTTAGGAGATACTGTGTAGACTCACTGAATAGGAATACGCATATCTTACGATAATACTACGAGCTGATAAGGCAATTTTTATTTTAATGAGTGATAAACATTCTCAATTAATCGTACCAATCAG